ATGCGAAGAAAGCAAAAAACTACCATTCGAATGGATAGAAGAATAGCCAAAATGGCGCGGACTCAGCCAACAATCAGCTCCAGGAAGATGAAAGAAGGTGTAAAGTTCCCTGTGAGGACTGTTACAATTAGAAGACGCCTATGTGAAACCAAGCTATCTGCAAGAAGCCCCCGCAAAGTCCCACTGTTGGGAAAAATACATGTGCTGAAGAGGTTACAATTTGCCAAAGAGCACATTGACTGGCCTAAAGAGAAATGGCGCAACATTTTGTGGACTGATGAAAGTAAGATTGTTCTTTTTGGGTCTAGTGGCCGGAGACAGTTTGTCAGATGACCCCCAAACACTGAATTCAAGCCACAGTACACTGTGAAGACAGTGAAGCATGGTGGTGCAAGCATCATGATATGGGAATGTTTCTCATACTACGGTGTTGGGCCTATTTATCGCATACCAGGGATCATGGATCAGTTTGAATAAATCAGAATACTTGAAGAGGTCATGCTGCCTTATGCTGAAGAGGAAATGCCCTTGAAATGGGTGTTCCAACAAGACAGCGACCCCAAACACACCAGTAAACGTGCAACATCTTGGTTCCAGACCAACAAGATGGACGTTATGGAGTGGCCAGCCCAATCCCCGGATCTTCATCCAATAGAAAACTTGTGGGGTGACAACAAAAATGCAGTTTCTGAGGCAAAACCAAGAAATAGAGAAGAACTGTGGAATGTGGTCCAATCATCCTGGGCTGGAATACCTGATCACAGGGGCCAGAAGTTGGGTGACTCCATGCAACACAGATGTACAGCAGTTCTCAGAAACAGTGCGACTACAACCAAATATTCATGAAGTCATTCAAAGGAAAGCAAAACTTCAAACATTTCTCAGTTTATATAGTGAATGTTTGAGTTTGTAAAGAAGAATACAAACACTGCGATTTTTTTGAACCGTCTAATATTCACTTTTCTTCAATTTTTTTAGAGGAACAACACAAATTTGATCTATTTTTCTTCATGTTTTGATTTGGAATAGAATGTGTCGTGTTCCCAATGCATTTGTGTGGATGGAAATAAAAGCTATTAGAAGGATTTTCAGCTTTATTCACTTTTTTCAACACACTGCTATTATTTTGAACACAACTGTACATATGGATGAAGGTCCAGCTGCAGCCTACTCTAGACTTTGACAGGCTGCCTGCACAGGGGCTGGACACTGCATCTGTCCCTCCTAAGTGCATTAAAGGACGCACTGCAGTTGGATGGCCCCTTGTGCCCCTAAAGCATTTAATGCACATGCATTATGTCTGAAAAGTTTTTCTACATCCTCGAGGTTCCTAATTATATATTGCATTCATAAAGGTGGAGGAGTCTCCTGTGACATATCAATAGACCAACCAAAAAGAACAAAAATCTGTGATCTGGAAAGAAAAGAAAATTCTTGGCCATGAAAATTCTTATTTTAGCAACATAAAGAGAAATTAAAGGCTTGGTTGGTTGAATTTCAAAATCAATGGTGGTACCATCGCATTACACGAAATTTCTGATTTTCTAAAGAAAATGAATCCGGAATTCGACCCATGTATGGCCTACATATACCAAGTTCAGGGGCAGACTGACAACTCATGGGGCCCCCGGGCAATAGGGGATCAGGGGCCCCTGTGTCCTTGCCCAAACTCAAAAAAGCCTATGAAAAAGGTACCAGGCGCATCTCATGGGGCCCCCTACTGACCCCGGGCCCTCGGGCAGTGCCCGAGTTTCCAAATGGTCAGTCCGCCCCTGACCAGGTTTTTCTTCTTTCTGGTTGTTGTAGCCTCCCTGGAGGTATTCCCGAGTGTAGCCCGGGGTAATGTTCCACTACCACAAGCGGTAACCCCGAGCTACACTCGGGCTTACCATGCGGTGCTGCTCCGGGATTTGTTCTCTTACCTTGTCCTGCGCTCCCGCGATGTCCCTCCTGCAGTGTCCCTGGCAATGTCCTCCGGCGGATGCCAGCATCTGTCTTCTGGGTTCCATTCCCTGTGACGTCAGGATGTACGGGTACAGAACTGGCAGGAAATTTGAAAACGACAAAAAGTGACATTCACTAAATTCACTAAAATAACAGTAAAACATTCCTGTATCAAACCATTTCACATACATTTTGTCCCGAGTGCTTTGTCCGGCGCCCTGCCTGCATTTTTACTGTTCTTTCTGCCTGGAAACTGAGAAACGTCCATGGCGTCCAAAAAGCGTCCCTTTAGGTCAAAAGCGGTTTTAGACCGGCTAGAGAACAGCGATAGTAAATCAGAACCACTTGCAGAATTGAGTGATAATGATTTGTGGGGAAATTCGTCATCAGACACTGAAAACGATTTTGCGACTTTGCTCAGCGATGTACGAACTTGGCGCTATATTTCACATTTCAGTGTTTTTGGTTTGATTATATTATTGAATTAAATTTATTATTATATTATTATTTTTTATGATTATTTAATAAATTATAATTTATGATTTCATGTTTCAAATTTTAACATACCCGGAATGTTTACTAGACTCTTGTTCGGACAGATTTCAGTGAGTTATTCCTAAAAATTACAGCCTACAATAAAAAAATACATATTTCCATGCAAAAAAATGTACCGCTTTGAGCACAGAAATATGGACATAATCAGACCGCTAGGGAGGTTAATGTGACTTATGGCCCTTGTTAACATGTATTTCATTAATCATTAAGGTAGCATGTACATTATGGATAAGCTGCCAATGTACTGCAATGGAACAAAAAAAGTGCATTTCAAAACGCAGCAGAGCACAACGCATGGTATACTTGCATGCACTGTGGTGCACTGATGTGGATCATTCATTGGACTCACACTGAATGGGCATCACAATCAGAGCAGGTGAGTTTTCATGCATTTTGGCAAAGCTTCGTGTGTGCAATGATGCCACAATGGACAAGTGTGAATGGGCCCTTGGGGACGCATGCGGGAACTTACTGGGTCCCCCTTATTGGAGGCGCCTGATTGCATCAGCAACTGCATTCCCTGTGCTGCTGAATCAATTTTTTATCGTGATGTGTATGGCTGGCATGGAGATAAAACTCTGAATAATGGATGGGAGTGCACATTTGTGTTTAATATATTCTCACCGTGCATCTGAGGAGAGCAAACTCAGATCTCATTAAATATGGATATGCCCAGGACAGACCACCGGGGATTCAGAGCAGGGCACGGACCGACTTTCCGAGATCAGGAAGAGGGACACCTTTTAGCACAAAGTACCCCTGCAGCACCCTAATTACACAGACCATGAAGAATTAATACACAGAAATGAAAGGTTGAACCTACATTTTTTTTACTGGCTATTCAAATAACATTTTAAAGTTGAACTCCTAGGAAAATCAAAAGTCACATTTGTAGTGGGACTCCCCCTGAGCTCTAAGGGTAAGTGCTTGTAACATAAAATCGGTTTTAATTAAATTACTCCTTGTTCCTGAAGGCTCCCTCCCTGTTCTGTTTCAAATGCTGCTTTATTATTATTATTATTATTATTATACAGGACTTATATAGCGCCGACAGTTTGCTCAGCGCCTTACATTATGGAGGGAGACAGTACAGTAACAATACAGTTCAATACATGAGGGGATCGAGGGCCCTGCTCCTTGGAGCTTACAATCTAGGAGGGAGGGGCTAGTGGTACAAAAGGTAATTAGCTGTGGGGGATGGAGTGGTAGGAAAAGTAGAGGATTCCAGTATTAGCTGGGGTTGGGGTAGGCTTCCATGAAGAGATAGGTTTTCAGAGTACGCCTAAAAGTGAGCAGAGTAGGCGATAGCCTGATAGATTGGGGTAGGGAGTTCCAGAGGATGGGTGAAGCCCTTGAGAAATCCTGGAGAGGAGCATGGGAGGAGGAGACAAGGGAGCTAGAGAGTAGGAGGTCTTGCGAGGAGCGGAGAGTACGGTTTGGGTGGTATTTGCAGACAAGGTGATGTATTCAGGAGCAGAGTTATGAATGGCTTTATACGTCAGTGTTAGTGTTTTGAATTTTATCCGTTGGGCAATGGAAGCCAGTGGAGGGATTGGCAGAGAGGGGTGGCAGATACAGAACGGTTAGTAAGGTGCAGGGGCGGACTGACCATTTGGGAACTCGTGCACTGCCCGAGGGTCCGGGGTCAGTAGGGGGCCCCATGAGATGCCTCTGGTACCTTTCATAGGCTTTTTTGGGTGTGGTTTTTGAGTGTGGGCAAGGACACAGGGGCCCCATGATCCCCTATTGCCCGGGGGCCCCATGAGTTGTCAGTCTGCCCCTGGTAAGGTGGATGAGTCTGGCAGCAGCATTCATGATAGACTGAAGTGGGGATAGCCTGCGGTGAGGTAGGCCAATGAGGAGGGAGTTACAGTAGTCGAGGCGTGATATAATAAGGGAGTGAATGGGTTGCTTAGTGGTTTCCAAGGTTATGCATTATGCTTTATGCATTGACATACCTCCTTAGACCCAGACTATCCAGACAGAATGGTCACCTGCTGACTTGGCATGATCCACAGGCAGCTTAACTCTAAGGCACAGAAGCTTAATTCCATTTCTTTTTCAGATCATTGCAATACAGGGGATGTTTTTCCAGTCCTTTTGAAATTTAAATAGGCAATGACTTTCCTAACCCCTGTGTCTGCTGATAACTGACACTGACTGAAGAACCATGGAAAGAGTGGGGAGGGTCTAGTTAGGACTAACTAGCGCTAAATAGGAGGGGAGGAATGGAGATGAGACAAAAATCACATAAGTAAAAAGTTGCAGTGACCAAAAACCACCACCTGATGTAAGGATAGCACAAAAAATGATAACCTTGTGCAGTTCAACAGAAAACATAAAAAATACACGAAAGTGGGGCAAAACACTACAAAGTGCACGATGGGTCTGCCAAAAACACTTTTCTTCACCACGCTATCATTTTCAGGCAGGGTTAGCCAGGGGGTAGGCAGAAAGGCAGCGCCCTAAGGCACTGCAGCAGCAGGAGGGGACCAAAAAAAAGGAGAAGACCTGAAGGCTATGCTGCTGAAGTAATTCAAAACTCATTGTTGCTAACAGGGGTGGACTGACAACTCATGAGGCCGCTGGGCAATAGCGGATCATGGGGCCCCTGTGCCCTTGCCCAAACTCAACAAAGACTATGAAAAAGGTACCAGGGGCATCTCATGGGGCCCCCTACTGACCCCGGGCCCTCGGGCAGTGCCCGAGTTTCCAAATGGTTAGTCCGCCCCTGGTTGCTAAACAATCTTGTTACATAGTTAGTCTGGCTGAAAAAAGATAAACGTCCATCCAGTTCAACCATTAAAAAAAAAAAAAAGTTATAATCCTACACCCACAGTTGATCCAGAGGAAGGCAAAAAAAACAAACAAAACATGATTTAATTTGTTCCTGCAGGGAAAAAAATCCTTCCTGATCCCCCGAGAGGCAATCGGATATTCCCTGGATCAACTTTACCTATAAATGTTATATCCAGTTATATTCTGTGTATCTAGGAAAGAATCCAGGACTTTTTTTAAAGCAATCCACTGAGCTGGCCAGAACCAACTCTTGAGGGAGTCTATTCCACATTTACACAGCTCTTACTGTGAAGAAACCTTTCCGTAGTTGAAGATTAAATCTCTTTTCCTTCAGACCTTGTCCCTGATCTGACGTCATCACGTACAATGCAGGACCAGCAGTTTTTCATTATAAGTGAGGATGGTGAGGGCTGGCCTACAAGCCAGAGCGTCAGAGAGAGGAGTGCTGGTTGCTGGGGGAGTGATTGATAAGGTAAAGTAAAAGTGTTGTTTATGTCAACCTTGCAGTGTTAGGAGAGCCCAGCTACAAACTACAGGCGCACCTCGGTTTACGAACGCCTCGGCTGACGTAATTTTCGGTTTACAAATGAAAATCCATTGAAAATAATGCCTCGGTTTACTAATTTTTTTTGCAATACGAACAGATTAATTGGTTTTCAATCAGGGTGGATAAAAATCAATGATTTTTTTTTTTTTAAAAATTGGATTTTTTTTTTATTTAAATCGGATTTTTTTTATTTAAATCGGATTTTTTTTGAATAAAATGCTTTTTGAGGAAAATATATTTCCATCCAAAGGTTATTCCATCATGAAATAAAGATTAGTTTTTTTAATTATGTAGAATAAGGCTGTATATGTTTCATTTTTTTGGTACATAAATTCCATGAATCCATTCACAATGTCATGCTCTTCCAGAGGTTTCTGTAAGATTATTGGGCAGTTTCTCTGCCTACAAGATATTATCACAGATGATTGGTTTACTTTTGCAGTTCTCTGAATTCTCAGCGGAAAATCTGAATGCCTCTTCTCAGCAAAAAGTTATCACATGCCAGAGTTAAGAAAAAGACCTTCATCCTAACTTCTACAAACCTATGAATACAGAATCAACCCCTTCAGTGCGAAGTTTCAAGAAGTTCAGTGAATAGAATAGAAACAATATTTTTCTGATTGTTTGGAGTGGAATAGATCTGCACAAGAAGAAAGTGAAACTAAGTGTGAGGGGGAGGGGCTGACAGTCTAAGTTTCTTCAAATATATAGATTTTGTTTAGCCGAATTAGTTACCAAACATGGATGTTTAAGCAAATCACATATGCTGGAATGTTATTGTTTCAGATGAATAAATCTATTTAAATTGTTATTATTAAGGTAATGATTATTTTTCTCCTTCCTAAGTACAACAGAAAAGTTGTCCAAATATGAATGATTAACCTATTAAACTGGGGATAAAAAAACTAATATGAAAAGTTGTTATTCTAAAAATCTTCATCTACTTGTATATTAAAGTTATACCAGCAAGAATTAGTCTTTATGTAGAAAACTAGGATTTATATCCAGCCTTACTGACTAGTGATTTAAATCAAATCCACCCTGTTTTCAATGCATTTACAATTTGTTTTTAATCATGTCCTTTTATGCCTTTAGAGTGCACTTTATAAAGAGTTTTGGACAGATATAACTTTTTTTGACTTTTTTCTGACCTCCGGAACGGATTAATTAGTTTTCAATGCATTTATGATTTTTTTTTTTTTAATCATGTCCTTTTATGCCTTTGAAGTGCACTCTATAAAGAGTTTTGACAGATAAAAGATTTTTTTTTTTTTTTACTTTTTTCTGACCTCCGGAATGGATTAATTGATTTTCAATGCATTCCTATGGGAAACCGCGTTTCGGTTTACAAATTTTTTGCAATACGAAAAGTCCCGCAGAACGCAATAAATTCCTAAACCGAGGTACGCCTGTACTTTTGATTTTACCCAAAATTCCCTGAATGCATGGGGCCCTAAATGCGAATACCGCTTGGTACAGCATTTAGTTGCATTCAGTCTCAGCCTGCCATAGACTTTGACAGGCTGCACGCTGCACCTGTCCTTTTGTTCACACTAAAATGCCGGGAGGGACTCACTGCAGCTAGAGGACCCCATGTGCAAGGGGCCAGAAGAATGAGTGGAACCAGCTATGCATTCTTGCAGCACTGCACTGCCACCTACTGATTAATTGTGGAGTTGCACCATTCCGTCTGGGATGCTCCTACTGATTTATTTATTACAGGCAGGGGCAGGCTGACAACTCATGGGGCCCCCGGGCAATAGGGGATCATGGGGCCCCTGTGTCCTTGCCCAGACTGAAAAAAGCCTATGAAAAAGGTACCAGGGACATCTCATGGGGCCCCCTACTGACCCCGGGCCCTCGGGCGGTGCCCGAGTTTCCAAATGGTCAGTCCGCCCCTGATTACAAGTACTTTCATAGCGCCGTCAATTTACGCAGCACTTTACATATATATTGTACATCACATCAGTCCCTGATCAGTACAATCTGTCCCTAACCCTCAAGGGGCGTACAATCTAAGGTCCCTAACCCTCAAGGGGCGTACAATCTAAGGTCCCTAACCCTCAAGGGGTACAATCTAAGGTCCCTAACCCTCAAGGGGCGTACAATCTAAGGTCCCTAACCCTCAAGGGGGCGTACAATCTAAGGTCCCTAACCCTCAAGGGGCGTACAATCTAAGGTCCCTAACTCACATTCATACATACACATACTAGGGACAATTTAGACAGGAAGTATTTAACCTATCAGCATGTCTTTGGAGTGGGGGAGGAAACGGGAGTACCCGGAGGAAACCCACACATGCACAGGGAGAACATGCAAACTCCAGGCAGGTGGTGCCGTGGTTGGGATTTGAGCCAATGACATTGCCAGGTGGAAGTGCTAATCACTTAATCACTGTGCTGCCCATTTAGGTCAGGGGCCCCCAATCCTTTCAGTACGAGGGTTCCATTGTACATTTTACAAATATTCACGCTCTGAAAAAATCAGTTTTTATAAATGAATCATTAAAATTTGGATAAATAAATAAACATGCTCCAACAAATATATTCGCATTTGAGGTCCCCCCTTTCACATCAGAAGCCCCACAACCATGTCAGAGTTCCCTCTTCACGTCAGAAGCTCTCCTGTTATATCAGAGTTCCCCATTCCATCAGAGTCCCCCTTTTCACATCAGAAGTACCTCTGTTACATCAAAGCCCCCACCTTTCCATCAGAGTCCCCCTTTTCACATCAGAAGTACCTCTGTTATATCAAAGCCCCCCCCCCCTTCAATCAGAGTCCCCCTTTTCACATCAGAAGTACCTCTGTTATATCAAAGCCCCCCACCTTTTCCTCAGAGTCCCCCTTTTCACATCAGAAGTACCTCTGTTATATCAAAGCCCCCCCCCCTTCAATCAGAGTCCCCCTTTTCACATCAGAAGTACCTCTGTTATATCAAAGCCCCCCCACCTTTCCTCAGAGTCCCCCTTTTCACATCAGAAGTAACTCTGTTACATCACAGCCCCCTTTTTACATCAGAATTCCCCCAATCATTTCATAGCCCCCTTTTCACATCAGAAGCCCTCTATCACATCACAGTCCCCCTTTCACTTTGGAAGCATTTCTTTCACACCAGAGCCCTCCTTTCCATCAGAGCCCCCCTTTAACATCAGAATCCCCCTATCACATCACAGTCCCCCTTTCAGTTCAGAAGCACCCCTATCACATCACTATCCCCCTTTCAGTTCAGAAGCACCCCTACCACATCAGAGCCCTCCTTTCCATCAGAGTTTCCCCTTTCACATCAGAATCCCTCTATCACATCACAGTCCCCCATTTCACTTCAGAAGCACCCCTACCACATCAAAGCCCTGCTTTCTATCACCTTTCACATCAGAAGCCCCCCACATCATGTCAAAGCTTCCCCCTTTCTATTGGAGTCTCTTTTTCACACCAGCATGCCCACATCACATCAGAGTGCCCCTTTCACATCAGAGACACCCCTATTAAACCAAAGTTCCCCCTTTCACATCAGAAGCCCCCCAGTTATATCAGAGCCCCCTCCTACCGTCAGAATCCACTTTTTACATCAGATGCCCCCTATCACATCACAGTCCTCCTTTCACATCAGAAGCACTTCTATCACATCAGAGCCACCCTTTCCATCAGAGTCCCCCTTTTCTCACCAGAAGCCCCACACATCACATCCATGCCTCTCTTTACACCTGAGTCCCCCTTTTCTCACCAGAAGCCCCACACATCACATCAAAGCCTCCCCCTTTCCATCAGAATCTATTTTTCATATCAGAGGCCCCACATCATGTCAAAGTTCCCCTTTCAGATCAAAGACACCCCTTTTAAATCAGTGTCCCCTCCCTTTACATCAGAGTCCCCCTTATCACATCAGATCTTCCCATTTATATCAGAGTCCCCTTTTCACATCAGAAGCCCAATCATGATGTCAGAGTCCCACTTTCAGATCAGAAGCCCCCCTATCACAGCAAAGCCACCCTCCCCCCTTTGCACCAGAGTCCGATTTTTACATCTGAAGCCCCCCATCACATTAGTGTTTCTGAGGGCTAGGTAAAATCTTGAAGTAGACCAGAGTGAGCCATAGTTTGGAGGACCATGGACTAGAGCAGTAGGGGTCAACTTAGTAAATACAAAGGTCACCAACACACCTAAAGGGCCGCAGAAGATT